ATTGTGAAACGGCCGAAAGAAACGTTTTAGCAACTTGATAGGACACCTTCACCTTTGGGATCATTTGTGTCAGAGCCGTTTTACAATAGGGCAGATTTTGGCGTCCTGAATAAGTGGCGCACAAATTGCAAGATTTTTGCAATCAATTGTAACATTTTTGACTAAGGGTACGGGTACCTATCTATTTATTGCAGTGAAATAAGTGTGTATCAAGAGCTAATTTTGTATATAAAATATGATCAGTTTGCTTACGCAATCACATCAATCTTTCGAGGACAAATAATATGTACCTGCCTGTTTTTCGATTATAAAAAACAAAAAACAATGCTTTTTGATAAAAAGTAGAAAATACTTCAACTGAAAATTCTAATAAGATTGCAATAAGTGACGATTGACGATTATTAAACTAGGCGCATTTATCAAGTTGTAGATAGACACGGTTCGTTTTTCGCAAATGACGAAATTGCATTCCCTCGCAAGTGTTTCGCAACAACCATAACTTTATTATTAGAAGAATATGGAAGTAAGGGCTTTATTTAGATTTTCGGATACGTCAAAATTTCTACCCCTAGCAACTTTTCAATATGAAAATAACGAATCTAAAACCGATTTTTGTAAATTTGAAAACAAAATCCCTGTCTTACTGAAACTGATTGCGTATGCCCAAATCTAGAGATTTATCTAAGAAGGAAGTGTAATTTTCTACGCGTTGGAATAATTTTCGTCTCTCCGTTTAGGGGTGCGTCATTTAACCTCCGCACACACGCAAAATTACGAATTTTTAACGTTCACAGTTTTGTATTTTTCAATTGCCTAATTCAAACATGAACTCATCACTACACTAATAGAAATGTGTCCAAAGAGTTCACAAAATAAGAGATCAATTACCCCGTGCAAAGGCGGACTGGCATACAATTCATGACAACTAAATAGAGGTCGCCAATGACAAATTGCAATGTAAAATTGTATCGAACTTTGAGATGGTTTTTGAAAAATATAAATTCTAAGTGACTATATAAAGTTTTTATTAAAAAGACTGTAATTACTACAATATTCTTAAAATAAGACGGGAAAATTTTATTTAAGTAGAGTTCCATTACAACTAATATTTCAGCAAGTATCATAATATCGACTTAATTCTTTATTTTTTTGTTATTTGCGACATTTTCAACATGCGAAACTAGATGACTCACTAGTAGGCGGGGAACACTTTCTGACCCGAAGGACCAATCTTCAAATGAGTATAACTTTTGTTTGAAAAGTGATTTTAAACATTTTTTCGCACCCCCATTTAAGGGTCCGCCCTCTTGGGGTAGGAATTTCGAAAAACAATTGGCAAAATTTTAAAGTGCATGCCCTAAAACTTATTCAAAGTCGTGCCACTCGTCATTGTAACTCGTATGATTGCTAAGAAAAATAAATAGTAAAGAAGAAATGCAACTTCCTTGAGGGTGGCTCCAAAACGAAACACGTTGGATCCTCGGATTATTTGAAAAAAAGTGCTTATTTTGATCCCCTCTTCCACCCAATTTTTTTACATACGTATATATGTAACACCCTGTAGAGTACATTTCTAATAAATATAGAAGTTCCGTCTTTTGTACGTAACAATACCTATTCACAGACCGCTTAGTTATGAATTAAAGCAAACTACAGTAGAATCTTCATAATCCGACACATATGGGACCACACAACCGCCGGATTATCAAATAATCCGGATTATCGAGAGTAAAAGAGAAAAAACACCAATTTTACTATGAATATATGTGCATACAATGAAAATGCTTACCAATTATACACAAATACGTAATTTTACACACAAGAAATTTGGCAAAATCGTTTTTATTTTTTACTGAAGTTATTTAAAAAGATATTTCGAAATAAATAACACATTATTATGGCCACTTTCTACAAGATGCTAGTTTCAAATTTTAAATCCGACGTTTCGTCTCCGGTTGACCATCATCAACTTTCTTTTTTCTTATGGAAGTAATTTTTACTTTTTGGATCATTTGATAGAGAATTCAAAAGAGAATGCAAAAATATAAACATCACAATTTTTTAAAATTATTAATATATTTTCTTTTTTGCCTAGAAAACTTTGTCTTTGATAGTGTACGTACGTAGTTTCTTGCGTTTTTACGAATTAATAGCGCTATTTATGATTAAAAGATAGTGATGTTTACATTTTTGAAATCAGAAAAAAATTCTCCATCAAATGACACAAAAAGTAAAAATTACTTCCAAAAGAAAAAACAAAGTTGATTAACTGAAGACAAAACGTCAAACTTAAAATTTAAAGTAGCACCTTGTAGAGGGACAAAAGTGGCTATAATAATGTATATTTATTTCGAAATATCTTTTTAAATAACTTCAGTAAAAAATAAAAACGATTTTGCAAAGTTTAGGCTTTTCCCGGATATCTCCGAAAGTAGTCGGAATTGTATAAGTTTCAAAACTGCATTTTGTTAAGCATCAAAATATGCAACATTGCCAAATTTAAACTACCTATCTATCTCTTACAGTTCCCGAAATCCCCATGGTGGCCCTCGAATTTGAATCGCCCTTATAGGGTGGTCTGTATGAAAAAATGTAGCTTAGGGTCGTATAACGAAAACCAAACACCCTGCATAAAAACTGTGTATCGCGATGGATTTTACATAAAAATACCCCATAACGGCCAGATGATTAGAGCTAGCTGAATTCTGTCCGCGCCAGTGATTTTCTCTTTAAAATTTTAAAATCCTCCACACACCTAGGTCCATGTTTTTTGATCTCTTAAAATAAAGTGAGTTTTTCAAAAAGAAAGTGCCCAATTTGGAGCATCATGTACAACCCCCCCCCCCCCCATAGTCAATTGGTTAGTGTTTCATATGAAAATTGATTGTCAAATTTAAGTTGATTAATCGACTTTGAGGTTATGTTTAAGCCGGTAGAATCATAAAAAAATGCAGTTTTAAAAGTTTCTCAAGCCCTCTCCTCAATAGTTTACTTTAGGTCATATCAAATACGAATAGATAAAATTAAATATTCTAATGTAGACGGCTACGGTAATGAGAGAATGAGTAGCTGGAGGAACTGAACCTGTACCTCTTTGCATGTTTTTGATTCAAACATTGTAATATAGTTCCGTTTTATCTGAATATCTTTGTGAGTAAAATATTTAGTGTGTTGGTGAAATCAAATCATCCTCAAAGGTTTTTTGTCAAGTGGAAACATAAACATTAACTTAGGGGAGGAGGGGACAGGGTGGCGATAGAACAAAGGTTAATTCACCTAATCGAAAACGTTATGCTCTACAAGAAAAGTAACCACACCTTTTTTGATAAAGGGTATAGATTTCGCGTCAAATGTCAAAAAATTAAAAAAAGCTAACTTTTGTGGTGGCTTACCCTCCTCTGCAAGAGCGAGGTGTTTTGGTCCAATAGGCAATCGTGCAAAATGGTTTGCTTTAATCATCAAACGCCCTATAATTTCATGTAAAAACATTTCCCAAAAAAAGTCCTAAATCGGAGTTGTTGAGGGTTACGAAATATCAATAAAATAGAAAATATACAGCCTTTATGTAATTTTGATAGTACGTATAGTGTTCCATTCTAAAATTCTTTTAGAGTGGGTAGTTACACTCTCGAAAAAAATGGGTCTGCACTGCTTTCAATTTAAAAGACAAAACAGTTTTTGTTAGTATTTCAAAAATTCTGAATTGAGCGCCTAAGAGTTAAACTTGTTTCTTTTTCATTTTCAGTACCTTCTGAAGTCTGAGTACCTTTCATCTGCATGTTAGTTTTCCGTAGGTAGGTCAGGGCCATAGCCAGGGGGGTGCCAAAGGGTGCCTGGCACCCTCTGGATATTAAGTGTCATCCTATGACCGATCACGATCAGAATCGTAAAATAAAAATGTACAATAGTGCTATTTTTGTACATTGTAAATTAATTATCATATCACAAATATACAATATTATTGTTGTTCATAATTATTACAATAAAATTGAATGAAAATGATTATTCTTGATAATTATAATACCTACGTACTACATTTTATAGTATGAGTACAATAATGGTAGGCAACGTATGGAATAATTAGCCTAAGAATAAAGTTATTCCTTTCTTATATTTTTAAAGTTATTTTTACCGCATTTTTTAAGAATAAAAAAAAATGTGCTATTGTTTGCGTTTTTTCCGTCCGTCCGCCTGTCTGTCTGTCCGTCCGTCCGTTAGCACGATATCTCATAAACGAATGGACCGATTACGATGAAATTTTGCAGGTGGATTCTTTATCAGCCCTTTTGACATATTCGTTAGTTATGAACCGAATTGCATGAAATTCAATATGTGCATAGCTTTAACCATATAAAACGCAATTCCAAAAGTTGAGCCTAATCGATCACCATTCATAGTGCCCTTTGTGCATCTCGACTATTTATAAACCGAATTGCAAACTTTCTTATTTATGAAGGTATTTAAATGAAATTTGATACCTAGCCACTTGGACTCAAAGAAAATCTAATGCCAGTTTCAAAATTTTGTTTTGCGCATATTTTTTGATTTTTTGACAAACAAGTTTCTCGAGACTTTATTTTTGTAAACAATAAGTGCACCCTCCAACATTTCGTTTGCACCCTTACAATTTTCGTTCTAGCTACGGCCCTGAAGTAGGTATATTTTTAATGAATTTAATATAATCGTGAAAATGGTATTTCAGTCGGGCCACAGTTTTCGATGATAATATATACTTTTTAGTACCTGTAGCAATTATACGAGTACATTCGCCCAGTATTTTAAAATAGTTCCCTTTTCGTTTAATTAATTTCTTCGTGTTAACATTTACTTAAAGGCAGTATTATCTTTGCTTAAAGCAAGCTAGATTGATTAAAATTGTTTGGTTACTGAATACAGAAAGGATCTTAAATTTTTCTGGGTACATTACTAGCACGTATGGGTAGTAAGTGCCGTTTTGCACATTTTTTTTTGTATTTACTAAGGGAATGTGTGAAAAAATTCTAAAACCAGTAGATAACGTCTTTTTGTTTTAAGACCGTTATAAATCTGCAAAATTTAAATGCGAGTTTCATATAAAAATTGGACGTACAATTCGGTTGTTCCATCCGGAAGATGATCGGGAACCTTTGAAAGGGCCTTCTCACGACAGTCTACAATTCCATCGGCGCACCGACATGGATGCGGGCACTGAGGTTCGCTGATACATTCTCCGCTGATTGCCTTCTCGACCAAACCTAATATAAAAAAACCTTATTAAGTGACAGGCTCACCCTAGGTCTTACCAGAGCATTTAAATTCTTGGTCCTGTAAATCGGCGATATTCTGTCCCTTTAAGTGATTGGGCGAATTGCATCTCGTGTACTGCGCCAAACGTGGCGAATGCCTTAAGTATCTCGCCAACCATGACAACTGGCAGTCGCAGTGGAATAAATTGTCGTTGAGTCTTAACGTACGCAATCGAAACATGTTGCTGAACATATCTTTGCCAATCCATGTTAAATTGTTATTATTTAATGTCCTAAAATGACCCGTTAACGAAAATGAATAATAAAATTAGTACCCTCACAATATTTCCAAATCCTTAAAGCTCCTCAAAGCCAAATCGTCAATGCACGTCAGATGATTATTATCGAGTTGCCTACAATGCATAAATGTAAATCACGCCGGTTTCAAAGTAAGAATACGTACAGGTTTTTGATTGCCGTGATGCCCCTGAGTGTTTTTCGTCCAATTACCGTAATCGAGTTGTGGCTAAGATCCCTGAAAAAAAAGTACTGTTTAATTATCATTTCATCTCTTTGTGCCTATGTACATAATAAAAAGCACAAAGGTTAGATATACGCAATTACGCAACCATGGAATCCATTCAATATTGTAATCACTGCAAATAATGATGAGTAAAACGCGTCAAAATTCGATTTATCTATAAACTTTCGATTTGTTCGGCCCATAATTATAATTTTTCAGTCTTCAGTTGTACTCCGGTATTTTACCTTACGCACTAGGAAAACTGCAGGAAAACCTAATTCGGAGTAGCCGGTAGAATGCTCGAAACTGGTCTAAGGAAATTCCCATCTCTGTCACAGATGAAAAGTTCTTACCTCAGTTCAGGTTCGAAATCTTGCTTTTTTGAAAAAAAAAGTTTGATGCCTTTGAGGCGCTCCACATTTTTTTTTAAATCCAGCACGTTATTTTCAGTTTCCGTATGCCTAATAACACATCCAAAATTTGAATCGAATCCGTCGAGCCGATACCTCGGAAAATTGCCAACATAAATATGTACTATACAGACGGAAATAGTTTACGTAAAAGTCAGGAAAATGATACATTACTGCCGAGGAAATATCGAAGTGCGAAGCCCCTCTGGGGCCGAGTACTTTAATTTCTGAGTCAGGTAATGTCATTTTACTCCAAATATTCAATTAAATTCATCTTGTTTTTAGTAATATACCTACATATATTCACAGTTTATGAATATACAGGGTGACACTTTTAAAACTTTCAATGGGCGATATCGTTTTTTATATTAGTAATTAGTATCACAAAATGGCCAAAACCGTTTCGGTAGAATCGAGGGGGAAGCAAAATGGTCGTATAAAGAAGGAACCAACTTCAACCTCGTACCCCCCGCCACCCCCATGCCTAAATTTTGAATTGTGACGTATCACTTGTGATACATCATTGGAAAGCTCTTAAAAAATGCTTTTCAGAAATACCATACACTGGTGCATTTAAACTGCCCATTCACAATTTATGTAATAAAAATGAGTAATTTGAGTATTTGATGAATTTGTCAGTGTTTGAAATAAAAAAAAATTTCTTAGATCTAGTGATGCTTTGGAAAAACAATGACAGCAATTTTTAGTAAATAATAATTTTCTATTGCTTTATTTGTTGATCGGTTATTATTATTTTAGTCTCGTTTTTAGTATTTCTTGGCAAGAAAATTACAAATTTTGAATTTAACTAAAGATTTCATAATGGTGTACACGTTAGCCGAAAGAGTTGAAATTATTTTCATCTATGGTTCTGAAGCGCGATCTGCATTTAGAACAGCAGCTGTTTTTAATGCCCGACACCCAGAACGACGTGTCAGTCACACTTATGTTGCAATGTTAGTGACTAAATTTGAAGAAACTGGGTCAGTGGAAAATAAGAAAAGAGACGGACCAAGAATAATGGATGAAGCTACTCAGATTGAAGTTTTAGGTCATTTTGGTGCAAACCCAACATCATCTATTCGAAAAGCAGCGACTATGACCGGACTTTCGCGAGAAACTGTACGACGAACTCTTAAGGTGCACAAATTTTACCCTTATAAGATGCAGATTGTACAGGAACTAACCGAAGACGACTCCGATCGAAGAATCCAATTTTGTGAAATAATGACCGAGAATATTCAAAATAATCCGGAACTGGTGAAAAACATTTGTTTTAGTGATGAATGTACATTCTTTTTAAATGGAAATGTGAACGAACATAACTGCCGGTATTGGGACGATAAAAATCCTCATCTTTTTCGCGAGGGGCATACTCAACGGCCCCAAAAAAATTAACGTCTGGGCAGGTATCTTAGGTGATAGCATTATTGGTCCTCTGTTTATCGAAGGAAATTTAACTGGAGATACTTACCTAAACATGCTACAAAATACCGTCGAGCCTCTCATCACTCATGAAATAGAGAATCAAATAAATCCAATTGACGGAAGCATGAATTTGATTGAAGATTTCATACATTTTCAACAAGATGGGGCTCCTCCTCATTACTCTATGGCTGTTCGTGAATTTTTAGATGAGAAATTTCCAGGACAGTGGATAGGACGAAGAGGTCCTATAGAATGGCCAGCACGATCTCCAGATCTGACACCATTGGATTTCTTTCTTTGGGGTCATTTAAAATCGGTTGTGTACAAAACTGAACCAGCTTCCATAAATGATCTTCGCTACCGGATAGTCAGGGAGTGCCGTTCACTTTCCAGGGAAGTGTTTAAAAATGTTAGAAATGAATTTGAAAACCGTTTGTGGTATTGTTTAGAACAAAACGGTGAACATTTTATTAAATAAAAGTTGTTTATTTGCGGAGTTCAAATTTTAGTGTAATAAATTGTGAATGGGCAGTTTAAATGTACCAGTGTATGGTATTTCTGAAAAGCATTTTTTAAGAGCTTTCCAATGATGTATCACAAGTGATACGTCACAATTCAAAATTTAGGCATGGGGTGGCGGGGGGTACGAGGTTGAAGTTGGTTCCTTCTTTATACGACCATTTTGCTTCCCCCTCGATTCTACCGAAACGGTTTTGGCCATTTTGTGATACCTCTAATATAAAAAGCGATATCGCCCATTGAAAGTTTTAAAAGTGTCACCCTGTATTAGTATCTATAGAGTAAGTAAAATGGGCAAAATTGCCCACTTGATTTCTGCATCCATTAAAAAACCATTTTGTAGGTTTTTACAAGAGCTACAAAGCTATTTACAGGAAATGCCTTTCAGTGGGGTGAGCTTAAAGGGCTAAAACAAGGTAGTGCTCGCATATAAATACACGTTTTAAACGTCTATATCTCACCGTATAGAAAATTCCCGGGGAGGAAAATGTTTGGAATTAAAAAACTACAATTGGATGCTGTAGCATTTTTTACGGATCTCCAGTTGTTTTGTAGTTATTTTGAAGCGAAGGGCGTTTTTCAAAAAATTGCAGAAATTCGTTATTCACTTTTAGCTTCAATTATTATAAAATTAAGTCTTCTAAATTGGTCACACTTCTAGAATAATACTTTATTAAAGAAAACTAGAAAAGGGTGAGGACTAATTTTAATTAGGGTGGAAATTAGGGGGTTGCTTGCGGTGATTTATTCGCTGAAAAAAGTACGGATCTACCTTATTTTCATTGTAGCTCACTTAATTTATATGGTGAGAGCACATAGTTTTTATTTTGCTTGTGTGATTGAGGATCTATTCACGGCTCCTTCTTCCTATTAAGTTTTTATGTGTTGGAACAGATGCTAGAACAGTTTGATGTTATCACCATAAGTGAACTTGCTCCTATTGACATTTTAATTTCTGCGCTACAGTATTTAAAAGATCATAGCGTATTTGTGCTTATGAGGTCAATTAACGTTATTATTAAAGTTTGTTTTTTTAAAAAAAGAAGAAAGGTTTCTTTAAATATTTTAAAAAATGTTCTACACATTTTTCTTTAAAAATGAATAGTTTACCTTTATTTGACTGTAAAACTCTCTAATTTAACGTTTGGCCAAGTCACAACTCGGCTCGTATTAGTTATGCAGCAGTCGTTAAAAATCCACTTTATTTGTTTTTTTAAAAGTTACGATTTGGTTCTCCACAGATTTTTTATAAAATGCATACTTTTCCGAGTTTTTCGCGAATAACCAATTAAAAACATTGGCCTTTTCCGAGGTCTTTTCTATGAAAAATTCATACTTTCGGTCGCGAATAACTGGAGTAAGATTAACTTTCCAAAAAAATGGATAGAACACTATTTGCTTAGAATTAATTAATTCTATTCCTGTGTTAAAATTACAATAAACATTGCCACCCCCGCGATGGGGTGTCAAAACTGTCCAAATTTCAAGATAATAGATTCATTTTGAAAAAAATGCCAGGGCAAAAGCTTCATTTCCTGGACTATAAAAGAAGGGGAAGGAGTGGAAATATAACATTCAATCTTACTTGACTTCCGGGCCAAACGTGTTAATTCGACGGATCTCAATCAAGCCCATTGGAAACTCCTTGCGAGGCTTTCTTTCGGCTAGCCAATATTTATGAACAGAGGGGGCAGGTCCGGGGAACACCATTCAAGAAAAATTGCCAGCTCGAGGGGAACGATTCTCATTCCAGACCCCGTCCATCCTTTAAATCGCATCAGCCGCAGGTACACCAAGGAGGGGCAAAAGCTTTTATTTTGACTCAAAAACCAATCATGCTATTTTAAATAAAAATTATCGTCACTAGTTAATAGAACAAATTCAATAAATATTTTACGCCCCCACATACAACAAACCGAAATCTCCGATCCGTTACACAAACTAAAAACCGAATCGTAATTGAATTCAAAATTGCAGTTTGGCAAGTTAAATGTAAAATATTACCTAGTAGAAAAGTTCCACTCGACATCTACAAGATACTCCAAAATATATCAACACCCTGTACATTAATCCTAAATAAAATGTGACCTATACTAGTTTGTATGAACATCCTGTATAATAGTAAATGAAATGTAACCTGCGTTTGTGGGAAAATTTCATCTTATCGAAATCTTTCTGTAAACTAAAATAAAACGTAGCTACATGAGAAAGCATTTATAAGGGCCATTTATAGCAATATCTGACCAAGGCCCTTATATTGTTATCCCACCCACAAATATTACCCATTGCTCAATGTTATACCAGGCCGTGGAAAATCAAATTTTCATATAAAGTATAATAGTAGGAGAGCTGGTGGAGATGTATTTGAGACACGCTGAAAACTTATCCAATACTGCTCCAATAATACCCAAACACAGAAATGCAGACCTGGCTGGGGAGAAGCGGGGCTAAATCAACCCTTTATATTTTTAAAGATACGAATTTTTTCTCAAAAAATGTTTTTGAGGCACTTTGAAATTTTTATTACTTATAAATGTTTGCAAATTTATTTGTAAAAAGGTAGCTTTTAATCCCATTTGGTGTACCTACCGGGACCGTGTACTCGTAATTAACAACTTTACGGACGGGGCTCCATGATATGGAGTTGGCGACATCTGGGCGCCATCCCTGAGCGTGTTATACTAACGTAGCGATTTTGTAGTTTTTTCCTATCTTCTTCTACAGTTTTGGTCCGACTGTTTTCAAATAGGTACAACTCCTGTGTGACCAAATTTTGCTTTTTTAGGAGCGAAAAAAACCACCTTTCGTAACGCGCGCGTCTTCGAGAGGTAGTCGACTTTGGGGGCCTAAAAGCTCGCTGCGAATTTTGTCACGCAAAGCTCGAGGTATGAGAAGTGCCCCAAAAATTCAGTACTATTCTGTGGTGGATTTCTAGTGAAATCCACCAAAATGCATATTGCAGGTGAACGGGACATCGGAAGCGGTACTGACAAAGGGAATGTGGTAGCCTTCGACAAGATCTTATTGATAGTCAAAACTGGCTAATGGAGTACTGATCTGTTCCACCAAAATACGCTGAAGTCTCTTCGATTTCACACGAGTACTTTTATAATTTTTTAGAAAACTTTAGAAACTGTAACAAGCGTCCTTAAGAGTGTTAAAAAACGGCTAATCATGAGCTTATTATTAAGAGTTTGACTCTAAGTGCTTTGAAAAATCCTCCAAAAGTCGATAAAAGCCGTACTAAGGTATTTGAGGCGTTTAAGAGTTTCTATGAAGGTGATAAAGAGGATTGGAAAGTTAAAAGGTCTTCTTAATTAATTACAAATGAGGGACAAACAAAGGAGAGTATAATTACGCATGAGATGGGTCCCAAACAAGATTTTATAACTTGAAAACGAAAACTTGGGGAATTTCTTATGGCGCGAAGCGAAATTTTTGAGATAGATATTCCTGTAAAGATAAGAAACCATGGCAATGAAAAACAAACGGTGAAGTTTGAATAATTTTTGATGGAAAAACGTATTTTCCATTAAAAATTATTAAAACGTAAATATCTCTCGTTCGAGCGGCCCCCCATACTTTCTTGGGGGAGGGGGCTAATCCGACTCCAAGTCCCTTAAAAGTTATCCAGGTGCACCAGAAAACATCTAAAAAGGGAGAGGTCGAGGGAGAAGTTGTGTTGCAGTACCTAATCCTATTTTTCGGCGTGCTGCAAACAATGTTGCCTGTTTGATCTTTTCTGAGAATCAACACCTAGGTACCATTTAAAATTGGAATATGCTTGTGTACCAAAGCAGAGTGCAGAGCAATTTTCTCCCATTTCGCCCACATCTACACCCCTTCATTTAAATTTGTTTCCTTTCCAATAGAAACTTGATGTGTCTGAGAATGTTTCTTCAATTTTTGGAAACGTGGTTAGTAAGAGGGACACGTGGTATAAATTATTCTACCGTAATCAGTAGTCAGGAAGCTGAAAGGTGTTTTTCCATACAACAATGGTACCGTACTTGAAGGTAACGTAAGAGAACTGATACGACTGATGAACATTTTTGTTATCATCAGATTACATTGAAAAGCGATTGTATGTAAGAATTTCGATTAGATTATGATATCCGGTTTTGTAAACACTTCACTGATGTGATATCCAAATAAGCAAAATAAACAATCGGCACTGTGCCATAGTAAATTTTGTTTATTATCAAAATAAACAATTTTTAAAATTAACCACTAAATTCACAGTGTTCTAGTCTAGATCTCTTTGTAGATGAAGATCACGGATATACATAGATTTATTTATTATCCCTCTATTTTTTTGGGCCCTCAACATTTATTTAAATATTGAAGTAGCTGCCGTAGGCTGGTGGTAACATTTCTGAGAGTACCAGGCTTGGTATGAGTATTTTGTATTGTAATTTTATGTTTGCATGTTCTAATAGGTACATAGGGCAACTACGTTTCTATTTGTTTAACTTTTATCATGGCACGTAGGATAATAATATGTACTAGGAGCGAAGATAATCGGAATTCATTCAAAGAACAGCTCGTAGAAATAAAGGATTGAAGCTTGCAAATTTTGAAAAAATTCAAGAATTTTACATATGATGCAATGTAATATTGAAATAGCTGTTGTTTAAGAGGTGGTAAACACTTGTGAGGAACTCTACTGATTTCATTGATATAATGTTTGTTATCAGTAAATTACATTCACTGTCGATATCAGTTTTTTTCTAAACACTTCTCGAGCATCGGGTCTAAAACTGCGTTCCTGTACATTTCACACATACAGGGTGACAATTTGAAAACTTACCACCCCCATATCTTAGTAAATAAACGCGATATTAAAAAAAATCAAAATCCGTTTCGGTAATTCGGAGGGGGAATCACAATGACATAGGTGGCTACGCACCCCCTCCAACCCCCTGCGCCCCAGCCACCCCAACTTTTAAATCTTAAATAGTGACCCCCCATGTGTGATACGTCGTTGGAAAGCTCTGAAAAATGCTTTCCAACCATACCAAATAGCATTACATTTAGGTTAGTAATTATCGTGCAAATCAAAAAATAAACATGGAAAATCGTATTTAACTTGAACTTCCAAAGCCGACTCGACAGCAACTCATTTTTGATCGCCAGTTATAATCTATTCTCAAACTCTTGTCGAACCTTTTCAAATGTTGGTTTTGCAATATTTCGACATTCTTGAATTATTCTCTGTCTTAGTTCGTCTATGTTCGTCGGTTGCGTTTTAAAAACGACAGATTTCAAATGTATCATATTAGTTTATTTTTTTATTTCCATCATAATTACTAACCTAAATGTAATGCTGTTTGGTATGGTTGGAAAGCATTTTTTCAGAGCATTCCAACGACGTATCACACATGGGGGGTCACTATTTAAGATTTAAAAGTTGGGGTGGCTAGGGCTCAGGGGGTGTAAGGGGATGCGTCGCCAACTATGTCATTGTGATTCCCCCTCCGAATTACCGAAATGGATTTTGATTTTTTTAAATATCTCGTTTATTTAATAAGATATGGGGGGTGGTAAGTTTTCAAATTGTCACCGTGTATACTCTGCAGCAGGGAAAACATGTGAGCCAGTAACAGCTTGTGTTTCTTATTGTCATTTCAGCATTTCATTATCAGTTTACTCTATCGTATGGAAAACGATGATCAAAATAGCTAATATTTTCAAATTTGAAAAAATAAATTACAGCTATACTGCTATTGAAAAACTGATATGAGGATAAGATAAGATGCTTACGCAAATGTATAGGTATAAGTTTAACAAAATAACTGATAATGATTTGAGCGAGAGCCATTATTGATAATTTGAACTTAATCTTAATTAATAAAGTAGTTCTTCTATTTAGATAGTAAACTGTCAACGTACCTAAATCTTCAAAATATGAACCCGATCAATAGGTTCCATAAATGCAATTGATATAATTTACGTTGATTACATAGAAAAACGCATAGCTAGAAACCCAAGAGACGGTCGTACAAGAAATCATTCATAAATTGAAGAGGACTTAAGCAAAAAGTAGCAGTACAATTCAGGATTGCGTAATACGAAATCTACAAAGACTTTAAAATCTTTAAAATTTAAAAATTTAAAAATTTAAAATTTAAAATGAAGTTTTGGTGAATTTTGAGAAAACCATACCGAAATTGTAATACTTAGAACAATATCTAATCAATAAAATCCATTATTATTATTATTATCTGAAGGAGATACTGACACTCAACTATTATCAGCCAATTCTAAAGACACCAATCAGTAACAACGTTCAATACTAAAGGGACATGAGATTTCATAGTAAAAAACCTCTTGTTTGGAGCAGTAATTGTACTCACACAGGCTGGACAAGCTTAAGTCAGCAAAAGTGACAAGTACTATGGCTGTGGACAGAGAGCTCATATGTGAGTAAATTGTCTACAGACTAAAGTAGACGTAATAAAACAGAAGAAGAAGTACGCAAGATGCCGCTTACGTGCCGAAACGGCGCGGGAAGGGGACTCGTCTCTCTTCGAGAAGTAGTATAAGATAGTTAGAGTAATGAGAATTGAGAATGATGTTTTGTCTGTACATAATAAGATTCAATTAAATACAGCATCACGCCGGTCACCTGTTTGTTTCATTGTCATCAGTAACCTTCTCTTCGCGTAGCCAAATTAGCTCGTCTACAGACGTAAATTCAAAAAAACTAAAATTGGTCATTTCCTTGAATGTCTTATTTCATCGAAAGTATAAGAGATATAAAAAAAAGTGTTATATATATATATATATCTATTATTGATATAAGTCGAGATCCGGATAATAGTAGGATAACCTGAGATCCCCCTTTAAAGTTAAAAATATTCGTGTATATTGGGTTGCCAACGACATGAAATATGTCCTTCTATCATTACCCCTATAGAGGGGAAAGGAATTATACAATTAAAATTATCCATATAAAAAGCAGTTAGGATGAGATCCAAAAATAAATACACTTAAGTAGAGATCATATAGTGTATAAAATGACATTGGTGTGATAAGGAGAGATCATGCGGTGTTGTCAAATGTACTTGTTCTAAAAATAGATTTCATTATCTTTTGCGAATACTTAACAGGTTGTTAGCCTTCCTGTGGGATTTCTTCGCGTATTCTTTCTTCCATAAAGCGGTGCGTTAACATTATTTGGCACCCGGGGCTTGAAATATAACATTTAATTAAATAATACCTAGTGTAATACTCTATTTTACATCGATGATAAATTATAACGATTAGCTATTTATTGAAGGAAAGAGTTCCGGTTGGAAATGATTTTTTTTTCTAACAGCTGATAATGGTGCATAAGTCTACATCTTTGAATTAAAGGACCCAATTCAAACTCACTTTCAAGGTACAATTGCCATTATAATTAATGTAATAATTTTTTGGCATTATCTGAAATGTTTCAAAATTGATTATGCATAGGTATTCATCCTACAATCATGTATAAACACCAAACCCAAAGAAATCATTATCAAATTGCTTCCTTATCTCTCTTCCAGTATCGTATGGTGCCTGGTTGGTAAAACCAATCACAAGAACTCTAAAGTTATTTGCTTATGATTACATGTAAACCATTAGGTTGTTCAGTATTTCGTAACGAAATCTGCAAAAAGTTCATTTTTTAAGACAGATGCCTTGGTTAGTCAAATTGGTTCAAATCATGGAGGTGACAATTTCGGTTCAAAAATATCGAACTTATCCGGCAATCATGTGTAAACACCAAACCCAAAGAAATCAGGATAAAACCAAAGCGGTGACAAACCGTACCGCGTTAGGACCCAACTTGGACAAAACGTACCGCGTTTCGCCGTGGTCCAATCAGAACGGCCAATTTTTGCCGTATGGTTAATACGTGGTACGTTCTGCCTAAATGCGTACGGTACCTAATTGGTAAAATCAATCATAAACAATTTACCAAATTCTCTTTTTAGACAGCGCTGTAATATCTTTGGTTCTTTTCCCGATGAGCTTGGTATAGAAATAACGATTTTGACATCTTTTGATTAAAATGCAAGTGGTCATCGAAAGTGTACCAAATTCCCTTATTGGGCACCGTGGTAGGTGTGTTCCTAGCTTATAGTTACGATACCCTTAGAAGCCATTATGACCCTCTTATTAATTTTTTAATTTAATGTGCTTACTAAAATATACTAAACGTTATTTTACATTTCTCCTCAATCCACCAGTTTAATCTCTTCAATACAAATCCGCCCTTGTAACGTAACGTGGATTAGGAATAATACATACGAGGTAGCAGATAACAAATTATTTACGTTAAAGCGCGCATAGTACAACTACCTCTTTCATTATTTGCTATCGCACTTTAAAGCGAGAGTACCGCTTTACAATGTTGCCGTTTATTTTGATCTCACTTTATTTAAAATATAACGTATTATATATAATGTAAGCAGCGCCCCCTAAGATGATCACTCAAGAACTTCGCGTGTATAAATTTTGACAAAAACCTAAAAGTTGAGATCCGGGCGAAAATTGAAATTTAGCTTCCTGTATGATCGACCGAGCTAATAGACTCGATATACACAATAAAAAAGGCGAGATCCGAAAACGGATCTCGGGTTTACCAAATGGATCTCACCTTATCTGCAATATATGTGAAAATG